AGCAAAGTAAGGATCCAGTATTTCAATTGTATACATGTATCTATCCGAAGCAACAATCATCATAGGCTTCACCAGTGGGCCACCTTTATGAATGCTTTATAGTTGTCTTTGAAATGTGTAAATGTTCGTTTCATCAATACGAAGGATAGCTGTGTTGTGGTCAACACATGCCAACAGTTCCCGCGCGAAGACCGTAGTGTGATCTAGAAGAATATATTTTTTTAAATATGGTCAAAGCCCAAGTGCTTTAGAACGAAATGTCTCATGAAAACATTTCTGGCTCTCTTGATAATTCAAGATACCCAGCATTTTCCTGCAATATTTAAAAATGTTTTAAGCACGTTACAAGTGGACTTTTACCAGAAGCACGGGGTTTAACAGTTGACAGTTTACTTGGACATTCAAACCTGTATCATCTACGGAGGTACAGAATTGATAATGGATAAGAAAAGCTTTCTTGTGTAGTAATGGTGTGAGGGGCACTTGTGTGTGAAGATCGGGATTTGAGGTAAGATGATTGTCGTTTTCTTCAACGGCAACTTACCTGTGGTTTGAAATAGCCCGTTGTTTTTGCTGAATTAAAGATTGAGCTAAATATTTATATCGTTAAATAACTTCCGTACACTGTCCGAGTGGAGAGCAATTCGTTAACTGTTAGTAAAAGTCAGTGCTTGTGGAAAAAAATCCAGTTCTTGATTAGCCCGTTAAGAGTTTTGTAAGCAATATTCGGAGAGCAGTTCTCTTCGAAAATTTTCGTTTGAATACTGCCAGCTTGCAAACAAAGATCATTGGACTGATCAGGAGTGAAACCTGTTCAAAAAAAAAACCAAAATCATCTTTATTTAGAAGATCCGTTTCAAAATCAATCCCAGAATTGCTGTTGTTCATGATTAGTTCTCTACAGCGACACAGTTGTTGCAATGGCTCATTTGAGGTCAAGGACGTTGTTCCTCGCTGGAAACAAAATGAGTTTTTCTATAAATCTGAGGTTTTCTGGTAAATTTTGTCAGCAAAATGAACAGGGCAAGCTCTGGCATTATCATACAGAAAAACATTGTGTTTAAGAAACATATCTGTCCGTGCTGCTTGCGGTAGTCTTCTGAGAGATTTTCTTTTCAGTCCACATATTGCACAATATTTGCTACATTTAGTGCCTAAATAAATTTGGTCATTTTGGTTTCATTTTGGGCAACTTCGGCAAATTTACTTCTTAAATATCTTTTATGACATTTATCGTGAATACAATCATTCTCGCTTTTAATTAATAAACGTTTGGCCTTAAATCAAAATTTGTTTGCAATTGCCTCCCAATAAACTGAAAATACACGGACCCAAACTTCTTTTCAAGTTTTCGGGATTTGAAACTTTTTCATTTTCTATTTATGATTTCTTCATTTTCGATCACTGGTTTCAAACAAGTGGAGCTTCTTTATGTTTAGTAAACCAATTTTTGTTAAGCAACAAAAATGTGAAAAATGCAAAAAAAAAAAAAAAAAAAAAAAAATTGAAATTAAAAAAAAACTACTTACATACCCACTCAAGATATTATAAGTCGGCAATCCAGACATTTTGTAAGCTTTCTCTAACACCTTTGCTTTAATTATCATGAAAATATTAAAATACTTGGTATCTTGTTTAATATTTATAACCTGGATTCGTATGCATAAAAATTCTTAAGTCCTTAATTAAGCATATAATTTAATACTGTTTTCTGCTTAGCAGATTGAAATTTTACTAAGCACATTGCTTAGCATGTTGCATAAAACTTCTCAACTCTTGAGTATATGCTTAGTATATGCTTAAAATTAAGCATGGTGTCTACCTGTCTTAACATTTTAAGATATTGCTTCAATATGGCAGGCGTTCAAGTTGCGCGAAAGAAGAGGACATTCAAACCTAGACTGGATCCATTATGTACACTCATAGCTGCTGAGCTACAGGCAAGATTTAGATTTACTCATGAAGGAATAGAATTTATTACAGATTTAATTAGAGATACTTGTAACATTAAGCTTCGACTGGTAAAGAAATTATAGTGTGCCAGCACATGTACACGTTATGGTAACTTTAAGATATTTTGCAACCGGCAAAAATGCAGTTATGCAGCGGTGACAATTTTGGACTGCATCAGTCTACCATTTCAAGAATTATTCAAAGAGTTACAACTGCTGTTGTACAGCCACACATTGTGAAACGATTCATTTCTTTTCCAAAGCAAGCAGAGACTATCAGGAAGCACCAGGCAGATTTTTTTGGAGTAGCTAAATTTCCAGGGGTGATAGGGGCTATTGATGGTACCCATGTTAGAATTATTGCACCTAGTGAGCATGAAGTAGAGTTTGTCAACCGGAAAAATTTCCGCAGTATCAATGTTCAGATTGTTTCAGATGCTCATCACAGAATTTTAGATCTTGTATCCACATGGCCAGGCGCAAAACATGATGCTAGAATACTACAAAAGAGTGGGTTGTTTCAAATCTTCAACAGACGCCTCTTGCCCGTGAAATGCCATCTTGTAGGCGACAGTAGATATCCATTGAAAGATTGGCTATTGACCCCATACCTTAACAGATGGACCGCAAATCCATGCAGTATAATAGGTCTGAAATTAAGTATATCACTGTATGAAGCTTTTCTTTTTCCTTTCATTTTTATAATTGATTTACTTTGTAAAATTATTTTTAAATAATTACTTTCACAATATCCTTGAAAATTAAAGTAACAGCTTAAAATATGACGTCATCTGATTGTTGCAAAATTTCGTTAACGCCCCGCACCTGTGACACAAAGATCATTACGTCAAAAAAAGTCATAATTGGACTATTAATTTTACTAACAGTATAATAATTTTCCTTTAACCTGTTTGGGTTTTCTATTACTTCTTATACAAGCTAAGCTGAATTATTATAACTTGGTAACTTTTTCAGCTAAGCATGGTGTACCTTGCCGTATCATATTTCTCCTCTTATTCTTATCAATTTCCGTGACTGCTTCCTCGCTGCAGTTCAGCATTCAACCCACCCTGAAACTCTCAGTGCATTCTTATATATATATATATATATATATATATATATATATATATATATATATATATATATATATATATATATATACCGGCCTTCATCATTCGACTGATGAAGGCCGGTAACACGGTTGAAATATTTCGAAAAGTGTTTTAAAGTTTTTTATTGTATTGACAAACAGAGACTTTGGATATATATATATATATATATATATATATATATATATATATATATATATATATATATATATATGTAGTAGAGGTACTTTTATTTGAAGTAATAAAAGTTGGAGTGATTTTAAATGAAATAAAATAAATAATGAATATAAATTAAAACTAAATAAACTATTAAATAAGTTATAAATGATAAGTTTTTCGTTACAGCTTTATTCTTTTCATTCTTTACTAACTTGGATATTTACTGGGTAGTGCTATAGTTATACACCCCTTTGGATCCACACCTGTACATACACTTTTACATGACCACACACATATCTATTGGTCAGTTTTTGAAATACTTAGTTTTCATTGGTTGTCTTTGTGGGGTACTGAGTTTTATTCAGAGTAAGATCTAGATTTCTGATTTCACTTGTTTTATGCTTCAAGATATGTTTTCTATGATATTATGTTAAAAAGGTGGAAAACAAGATATTTTACTTATAAATGTTAAATTATTGAGTTATCTGCCTAGCTATTCAGATATTGATAAATCTGATGGAATTTTGTTGTAAATCAATTTATATAAACCTAGAAATACTTTAAAGTAAAGATTTTGGTAATCAAGATAATTTAAATATCTATTGATTATGAGAAAGGTATTTGTGAGGAATAAATCCTGATTTTATTAATTATTGTACATAGGTATCTCAGTCCATATATAAAGAATATGTAAAGTTGCATGGGAGAAAGTTCAATTCCATAAATTGGTATGTCTATCTGTATTTAAATTTTTATGATTTGTAAAGAAATATCAAAGAAAGATAACTCTTCACAAAATTGTAAAGAGTAATTGTGTTATAAGAGTTACCTCCCTTATATCATGTGTCAAGTATATTTTTTATGTGTTATCATAGTGAATGATGATAATTAATTGTAAAAGGGAAGACAGATAATTTGTTATATTTTTATAATCGGAACATTTAATTGAAATACTATTTGTACATATTTTTATGATGCAATTTCTATATTGCAGGACATATTCAAAATTCGTTATAAATTCCATTATTCCAATATTCCATTGTCCGAATTACTAAAGATATCATCATAATAAATGTGTTAAACTACAACTGGTGTTTTCCATCATTGCCGGGAATACCCGCTACAAAATGGCGCCCAACAGAAAATCCACTTCATAGGCCTAGACTATTGGTGATTCCGGAAATATCCGATCCAAGCGCTTTAGTGACACTGATCAGTGACTGTGAGTAATTCATTCGAATTTTCTCTATTGACATTTCACGTGAGGACCATCTGCGCAGACCATCAACAACGCTGGATTAAAGTAAATTTATTTGATTAACATTATATTTAGTATTTGTTTATTTATTTATTCAACAGAATATTATAGTTAGTGTAATATTATTCACTTTTGATTAAATTTTGCCTGGCCAGATAAGAGGTGTAAGAATTTTGAAAACACGTGTTGTTGAAAACAGAGATAGATATTTTTCGGTCATCTTACATTGTTTATTATTTTCTTATTACAAATACTTAAAATTAAAACATTGTTATGACATCATCTTTTGTTCTTTTAATACCTTCTTATCCTTGAAATAACAAAAACAATCCAATAAGTTACCTGTAACTGTCCAATAAGTTGGAAAAACTGTCCACTATTAAAAATAGTGGACACTTTTTTACAACTTATTGGACAGTTACAGGTAAGCACTAAGAAAAAAATAACAACAAATCCAACACAAAAGATATACATGTTATTCATGAACAACGAATTACACACATTGTAATAATTATTCCAACTTTAGAATTTAAATTTGAAAAATACACTTCCAGACGAAATTTCAATTTCACTAGCACCAGCTGGTGCACACACATTAGAATCACTTTCGGCTGCGGTTTTGGCTTTCTTGATAGCTACATCACACTGATTTTCACCGTGAATGATTTTGCTCACTCTTTGCTGTTGTTCTTCATTTGTTCTTTTATACGATCTAACAGATGTCGAGCGGTGTCCAGTTTTCTCGGTTATTAGCTGCTCATCAATGCCAGCATCGTAAAGGCGTGTTGCGGCGGTTGCTCTGAGGCTATGGTTTGTGTAGTGGCCAGTAAATCCTGCTATTTTACACAGTTTTGCGACGGTCTGTTGAAGAGTGTGTAATCCAACAGGGGAGTCGGCGTACCAAGTGGAATCTGTGGGGTACCGCAGAGGTCGCAAATAGAGAGCATTGGTTTTACCAGCTTCAGGCCTTTAAAAGAAAATTGCATATTATAGATTAAAGTGTTTTAAATTAAGATATATGTTACAGCAATATTTTGGTGGAAATTAACAACAATATACTTGCCTTATATGCAGATATTTTTCATACGTGAGCACAGGACATCTCTCGGGAACATTCTTGTTCTGGTATGCTCTGGTAACTTTAGGTTGCAGATTTTTGTGCTGGAGCCCACCGCGATTTGTTTTGGAGACATCATCTCTATATTCGAGATATCGCAGTCCAGATGCATCCATGGAAAGAGAAATCTGACTGTTTGTCCCAACCCTCAAGTTTCTGTGTTCCTGTCCTGCTCGTAGTGCAAAATGTAGTCCTAGTTGAAACAGTAGAGTATCTAAGAGTTGTTGAGGTATATCTCTTCCTAAAACTCCCTTGGACCACATTGCATCTTCTTGAGCCTCAGTTATGATCTCTGCCCGTTTCCGCTCTATCCCCATGCCTCGCCCAGAGAGTTCTTTCATCTTTGAATCAAGAATACTGCGCATATCGTGAAATTTATCATCATCCAAAAAGTTTATGAATCTACCTTCGTGTCGTAATTTGTGTTGAATTGCACACACAATTTCATACAAGCTATTGGGTCTGTAATCCTCTCCAGATTTATTCCTCACTTCAGCTACAAAGAAACTCATTGTTTTGTTGATTTCCTCATCACTCATTATCATAATATCCTGGTACATAAATGTATCATGGTTTGGTAACATACGCTTTCGTTCATTTTGCCAGTTCGTAAATAGAGTCATTGCCCACTTTGACTTTTGCTCTGTTTTCTTCGATAAACCTTTCTTAACCAAATTATCCAAATCTTCTTGATTGAGCAAACCTTTCAATATTTTCTTTTCCTTCTATGTCTTGGGTGGCCTTAACAAGTTCCTCGTCAGAAATATCCGAAAAAATATCTACTTTGAGGTCAAAATTCGGTTGTTTTTTTGGATGTTCTCTTTCCAAATCCAAACTAGAGGTTACTGTGAGCAATGAGCTCACTAAATGATACCCCCCGCCTCCCATATGAATATATTGGCAGTATCCATGTTTTGCTCTGGAAAATCCAAAATATATGTCAGATCAAAAAGTAAAATAGGAGGTGCACAATGGCAATATGTAATAAAGATTCTGTGAAAGTTTCATTAAATTTCCTTCAGTGGTATGAGAGGAGTTGCGGATAAGAGATGGGTACCCCAAAGCGTAACAGACGGACGGACGGACAGACGGAAGGACGGACGGACAGACGGACGGACGGACAGACGTACAGACGGACGGAAATACCGATTACTATATACCCTCCCGCTTTTCAAGCGGGGGGTATAAATATCACTGAGAATGCCATCCGTGTTGTTTTCTTGTTCATCAACTTTCTAAACTTGTTTTGTGTTAAAAACACGCTTTCTCCATCTGAAGAGGACATCCTAACCGCAGGGACATTTACTAAGAAGTGCCCTCCAATAGTTCTTTCTTCTCACAGAATGGACAGTTTTCAGCATGTAACCTTTACATATTTTGACTTGGACTTAAGAAAACGGACTGCCGCAGGTACAGTTGGCCAGTAAGTTGGTTGTATGGGATAGTGTTGTAGAGGAAATTCGTGTTGTTATTGTTTAGATCAGTTCAGTCGATTCAAGGTAAGCCTATACAGTGAATTATTATGCTTCCTGTAAGTTTGTCTCTATATAGCCCATACCCTACTGTTCTCGCATAGAGATCTAAGGATTTATATAGCGTAAGCATACTATGCCGAAATAGAGCACGGCTTTACTTTCTGAAGAAAATTCTACATTACACACATCGGGAATCGAACTCACGACCGTGAGGATGCCAGTCCGATGCCTTATCGATTACGCCACAGAGACGATCACTGATAAGGAGAATTTTATTAAATATATAAACTTAATTTATACAATTGACACAAGAAGGAGAAAATAGACAAATATTATTTGAAAACAGTTATATTTATTCTAAGGAATCTGAGATAAATGTGTACAACAAAGTTTCAAACTAATTATATGCAGATCGTTAGATGAATTGATATCATGGGGTCATTAAAACGCTTTTTTTATATAGCGCTTGATTGAAGGATGTAAAAGAAAATTATCAATGAGAATCCACGTCTGTAAACAAATCAGTCTTACTGACAAAACAGAAAATAAAGATGAGTATCTTTGTGACAGAAAATTTGGACTTATATTTAGAGAAAATACTAGTAACCAAAATAACTAAGCATGCAACTAATTCTAGCATGAAGATTTTGAATGAGTTTTTGCAAGTGCGCTGTGTTACCACCATTATTTTCAGGATAAATATTATAGATATTTTCCGCATAAATAATAACAACAGTCAGCATAATAATAACAATAGTGTTGCATTATGCATGTACTATGCCTAAATAGTAGGCAGGGTTTGACACATAGTGCACTCGCCTCCGGCTCGTGCACCATGTGTCAAACCCTGCCTACTATTTAGGCATAGTACATGCATAATGCAACACTATTATATAATTAGAGAATTTGAATTTGTCAGAGTTTATAGTGAATTACATTTTATTTACATTGAAATCCACACAGTATAAATATACAACAAGAATACAGAGTCTGATCAAACTTTTGTCTGTCATGGTGTCCACTTAGTTTAGTGTTAAGCTACTAACATCTTAGCTTCTGATCTTTTCAGCTAAAAATATAAACTAAGTTTAAAAAAAAAAATATGTAACATTTTGTGTGTTTATTGCAAAATGTAAATTGTTTTTAAAACAATTTAAAACAATTTAAACATGTAAATTGTTTAAAACAACTTAAAACAAGCAAGACTTTATTTACAGGCAATCAACGCGTTGGTTTATTTGTTATATCCGTCAATTAGATGCGCGTCGGTTTCTTTGAGTTGTCATTTACGCAGTACATTTAAGGCAACATTTTCTATAAAAACTCACGGAATCCGAAACATTTTATGCTTAACAGTTTTATTTTTTTTAGCAAAACACTCTAGTTAAAATAGCTATTTGTTATCTTGAAGAGCATGTCCATCGCTTTTCACATCGGTATTTTTTTTGACATCATGTGACCCCCTGAAGTCACGTGGGTTCCGATTTTAGGTCAAAAAATGATATGTCAAATTTAACCAAAAAGTGCAAGGGCAAGGCAAACAAAAAATTAACTGCAAAATGTTTTATATTGTCCCTATGTATCTAAACTTTCTCAAAAGTGATGCTCATTCAGTTAGTTTTCCGATAGAATTAAGTTATTTAGCTAAAACAGACAGAATTGTATGAAAAATAGGATATTTTCCTAATTTCATCGTGATTTATAAATTTACTAAAGGATTACAAAGAAATGAGCATCACTTTTTGAAAACTACACAATAAAATAAAGAATTTTAAATAAAAACCTACTTTTTAAATTGTCGCCTTGCCCTTGCACTTTTTGACTAAAAATTGAAATCTTGGAAGAGTCAATCTAATTATAGTTTTCAAACGCATCATTGACCCAGCATGGGAGATAACTCTTGAGTACTTGATATAGTTTGTTTACCTCGTAAAATTAATAAATATACATGCGGACAGGGCTGGACTCTTTTTTTAACTAAATCAAAACGGTATGCATAAAATTCTTGACATTTCTTTCTATTTTGTTTATTCGTTCTCGATACATTGTACACATTTACTGTATGGTAAAAGACGTCTTTCAAACCTCCCGCATTTCCTCAAAGAAGTTAGTTTCACACAAACATAGGTCTAAATATTGCCGCTGTATTCGTGTAGAAAACAAATGGTTAATTAAAATATAGCTTCCTCCATTAATAAGAAATTAATTAGATACGTATCTATACCCCTCTCTCACTAATGTACGCATAGGCGTCGAAACCGGAGGGGGGGGGGGGGCTTAGCCTACCTATAGCTACTTATTTGCAAATTATATAGATTACTTAATGTAGGCATTGGAATTTACCTTTCTCTGTTGGTTTAGCCCCCCCCCCCTCTCAAATAGCCCCCCTTTCATTTTGCTTCCGACGCCTATGGTACACACACAAGTTTGTGTTAATAATTTTTCTTTTCTTTCTGCATACGAGATCATGAGGGGGAGGGGCTGGCAGATTTTAGAAATAAATACTTGCAGATCAGTTATCTCGCCCTTCCACGAATCAGAGTTTTTAATTTTTTTTTTTTTTTTTGTTTGTTAGACTTTTCAATGAGAAAAATAAATAAATAATCTGTCCTTCATCTTGTTGATCGGAAATAAATATTAATCTGTCCTTCATTGACATGAAAATGAAAAAAAATCTGACTTGGAAAAACTTGCCACTCACCCCCCTTCCCTCAGAATCAAATGGTGGTCCCCTACCCTATTTTGAATCAATTGGGGGGTCTCTTGTCTCTTGTTTTTGGTAATATTATTGAAAATAAATGAACACAATGTACATGCTGGAAATAAGATCTTGATGGACATCAGTACCCTCCACACAAAATATGTATGCAATTTAAGATTTTCAAATTTTAATAGCCTTTCAACACCTGTACAGTAAATATATGAAAAAGTCAAATTACTATTTCTAGAAAATTTATTTAATAAACATTTCTTTACAAATCCAACGACAGACTAGGAATGCAGGGCAGGTGCAAATTATTTCCATCACCTCATGTTCTTGTGGATAAAATGAATTCTGAAAATATGAAAAAAATCAGGAAATACCATTATTGAAAGTTATCTGTGTATAAAAAAAAGTGAAATAAAACTAGAGGTAATGTGAGCGATGAGCTCAATAAATGATACCCCCCGCCTCCATATAGTTACAATTGCAAAGTCCATGTTTTGCTGTGTCCAGGAAACCCAAAATATGTGTCGGATCAAAAAGTAAAATAGGAGGTGCACAATGGCAATATGTAATAAAGATTCTGTGAAAGTTTCATCAAATTTCATTCGGTGGTATGAGAGGAGTTGCGGATAAGAGATGGGTACCCCAAAGCGTAACAGACGGACGGACGGAAAGACGGACGGAATTAACGATTACTATATACCATCCCGCTTTTCAAGCGGGGGGTATAAAAATGCATTAAAACATTTAACATAGAATGCATATACCTGTTTTCAATTCTTCTATTAGTTTTTAATTATTATCAAAATAATTCAATAATCTTGCCAGGAATATTGTATGGTTTATAGCTAATATTGAGCATACCAGTTTCCTTAAATGATGGATTAACTTGCTGCCTGAATGAATCCATTAGTCCAAATTTGTGAATAGCTAGGCCTACAACACAATATATAAAGTATGCAGTTATATGCTACTACTGTAGTGAATTTATGTTAATCATATAAATGGCAAAAAACTTCTCTGGGAAAGTGAAACCTCTGACATTTACAACAGTTATTGATAGAATATTTTCTAAACAAAATCCTGAGTTTCACCATTACCAAAATGAAAAAAAAAATTATATAGCACATGTATACTTTAAAAAATGTGGAATTTTAATTAGAAGTATACATACCCTGTGGAGAAATGATACATTTTTTATTTATTCATTCTTCATGTTCTTTAAGCCTGAAACTCTGGACAGCTACAATGATAAAAGTATTATACAAATATTTTTACTGTACATGTAATCTAAACAAAAAATGAATATTTTTTTTCATTAATTTAAAAATTCTAGAAAATTACAACCAGTTGATGTTCTATGTTTTCAACATAATGACACTGATAATTTTTTTGAATTGTGTAGCATGTTAGTATGTCAAAAGACATGATCATTGCTTGT